TGTATCAGTTTAATACTGCATTCAATTTTGGTCACCACACTATACATACGATGAACAGTTGCAGGAACTGGGCATGGCTAATCTAATAAAGAGAAGGACCAGGGGAGACATGATAGCGGTCTTCCCATATTTGAGGGGCTGCCACTGAGAGGAGGGGTCAAGCTATTTTCCAAAGCACCTGAAGGCCAGACAAGGAATAATGGCCGGAAACTGAACAAGGAGAGATTTAACTGGAAATAAGGAGACATTTTCTGACAATGGAACAGCTTGCTTTCAGAAATTGTGGGAGCTTCATCACTGGAAACTTTCAGAAATTGTGGGAGCTTCATCACTGGAAACTTTCAAGAAGAGATTGGACTGCCATTTGTCAGAAATGGTGCAGGGTCTCCTGCTTGGATGGAGGGTTGGACTAAATGACCTAGAAGGTCCCTTCCAACTCTGCTAATCTGTTAATTTTAAATCAGTAAATGACAGAAGAATATCTTCAGCATTTTGTCATCTCACAGAACATTCAAAACCTTTATTTATTTATTAGTTCATTCAATTGATTAGGGACACCTATCTCCACAAGTGGAAGGCAAGCAATATTCATACCAGAAACAGAACTGCTATTACAAAAGCCATAATAAATAATAGATTCATTTTAAGATAGCTTTATGGTTATACATAGGATCTTATTTTAAATAATGCATAAAAGCTGCACTGAAAATGTTACAACATATAGTAGATGACATGGTTGATTTAAACCTCTTTCAAGCCTTGGAATTAATACACCCGCAGCCTTTTACTAACAAATCTCTGATAATCTAAGTGCGCGTAAGACATTTATTTAGGCAACATTTTTTCATTGCAGCAAATTAGATCAGAGGCCTCCAAATTTGACAACTTTAAGACTTGTGGACTTCAACTCCCAGAATTCTCCAGCCAGCATAGCTGGAGATATAACACATCTCCTTTGTAAATCAAAAGTAAGAAAATTGTCTAACTTAATTTTCTGAGTTAATATTGAAATCATTCTACTAGTTTATTATTTGTTTGTCCCTTTTTTGAAACCTTAGCTAATTTCATATGTTGGTCTTGTATAGTATATTTTTCAGTACTATTTCTCTATTAGTTTTAAAACTATATCCAAGATAATCTAATTTTCAGCAATATCCTCTTCTATCTCTTCTTTTAAGCCCATTTATATTGTATGACACAGTCTAAAGCAGGAGTGTCAAACTGATTTCATTGAGGGCCACATCAGGGTTGTGTTTGATCTTGAAGAAGGTGGGGTGGGCATGGGCAGGGTTGGCGCGGCCAGGGTAGGTATGGCCAGCTCAATGACACTCGGGGGCACCTGTGATGGCCAAGTGCTAAGGCAGGACTTCCCTCAGACCCTCCCTCCCTCTCATTACAATCTCCTTCCTTCCTTCCTTCCTTCCTTCCTTCCTTCCTTCCTTCCTTCCTTCCTTCCTTCCTTCCTTCCTTCCTTCCTTCCTTCCTTCCTTCCTTTCCTTCCCTCTTCATTCTCCTTTCTTCTTCCTTCCCCTCTTTTCTTATTTTTCCTTCCTTGCTCTTTTCCCCATCTTTTTTTCTTTGTCTTTGTCTTTCCTCTTTCCCTTTCTCCTTTACTGTCCCTTCTTGGATGCTCAAATGCAAAGGGAGAAACAGTTTTTTATAAGGCTGGATTTGTCTACCTCCTCTCTTAATCACTTTTACTGGAAAAGGCTTTCTGGACATTTTTGGATGATTTTCCTCAAGCCGCAGGGAAATAAGATAATTGTAAGATGAAAATTGATGTTAATTTTCCAAATTGGGAAACTTTGGAATAAACATATGGTTGGATTGTCAGTATTAGAATCCAAAGATATTAAAATTATAGAATCTCTATGGCACTATTTACAAATGTATTTGTTAAAAATATTATTTAGACCAGCAGCTTCTGACACATGTCAGGATTCCAGCAGTTATCTCAATTAAATCAGGACTCTTGAACCTAACTTCCAAAACTTCAAAAGGATTTATTGGGAGTTAAAATATCTGGCACTGCCTCGGTGTAGCCGACTCTGAGACACATAATTCATTGTCACCCTTGATCCTGGTTTTCCCCACCCCCTGGATGTATCATAATTCATATTCTCCAATGGGACACATCCATAGCCAAGTATCATCAATCATGTTATCCAGTTAGAATTTTGCATGGCAAAAACTTCAGTCACCTAGTTACTATCTTTGAAAACTATTTCTGGAATGCACTTTTGGTTTCCAAGCTACCGCACTGCTCCCCCTCCCTTTCTGTTGGCAACTCTAAAAGACCATAGAAATATTTTATGAGTTGAAATAAGAGATACATGTTAAATCTGTATAAATGATATTTTTATAGATATTTATCAATAAATCAATGTGTTATGCAAATATGAAGAAATGAGTAGAATAATAAATAAAAGTCCCTATATTACCTAGAGAATGGCAAAGTGTCTTAACTTCTATAGCAAGAGTACCAATGGATCTTGTTATGACTAAAATAATTATAATTTATTGGACTCCAATACATTTGTGTAAAAAACACTGCCTAGTACAGCACTTTATTGGAGATATAATATGGAAAATACTTCTTTAAAACATATTCCTACACTGTCCTATACTTACCAAGTTTTGGGAGAAAACAATGAGTGTATAGATCTGAGTGGCAAAAGTTAAATTTTTCTGAAGATAATATTCTTTTGAGCTATACACCTTGTACTTGGAACTTGAGAAATGGACAACATAAATGAATGTGGCCTTACTATGTTTAAAGATTGATATTGCAGCATTGGAAAGATAAATGAATGGCTCTGTTTATTGTGTATTGAAGACCTGATTGCACTTGCCTTACAAGTGGATTGCCTAAAGATATAGACTGTAGGAGATGACCAGGCTGAGCCTGGATGTGCATGTGTGTGTCAAACACATCCTTGGTCTCGAGTCTCTTCATACTCACAAGAGATCAAAGTCCAACCCACCTCGAATGCAGTTGACTCTTGTCTACTGCCAATTTGCTTTGACTGTTAGTAGTTCAGATTCTTGTAGAGAGCATAAGCATACAATAAACCTATATTCATTTGAACTGCCTGGATTCTTGATTTCCTGCACTTGACACAGACTTTGTATAGACAAGTCTATAGTGAAATATTGGACTCATTTATACAGAATATAGTGGGTTAAAAAGTGATAGTCGTACAAATATATTAGAAATATATATACATATTTGAATAATATGTGGATAAATATATATGTGATTATTACTGTTATAATGACATATCACACTATGATTTGGTTTTCTTTTTTTTTTCATTTTTTTAATTAATGCACTTATGTTTATTTATCTTCTCTTTGACATGTTATGTATCCCAATCATTATTATCTTTGGCTTCTGCTCTTTTTCTTTTTCTGTTATTAATTAAAAAGCAATTTAACAAAGAAAAACACCACGAGAAAGTAGAACTGCACCAAGTTGTATAAGTATATTAAACTAGTAGATTTCAGATTCACAAACAACATTCATTCTAACTCAGAAAAGTTGTTCATATAAATAAAACTTAAGTTTGCACTACCTATTGACAGTGGAAATTGGATTTGCTATCTTTGAAACAGGATGATTGACCCCACATATTAAGATGCTAGAAACAAATAATCACCATTACTAATACTTGCACAATTTATACACTACAATTAGAACATTGTTCTGATATTACAAAGACTCTAGAACTTTGTTACATGTCAGATGCAATATTTATATTTATGTCATAAATCTTTTAATATCACTTGAGGAAAACAATTTTAAAGCTATATTGCTTGTCTAAATCTAAACAAATGTATTTTCAGTACTGAGTTACCCAACCAGGGAAAGCCAGGGTCAAGTGCATGCTTAGCCATGAAAATTTATTAAATGATTTTGGATTGGTCATTCTCTTCATCCTTTGGTTCATCCTTTCTCTCCAGAGTTGTGAGAATCAAATGGAGATGCCGATATAAGTCATATAGGGGTCATTACAAAAGTATTATATAAATCTATCAAATAAATCAATAAAGATGCAAAATTCACATCATTTATTGTCAACTCCACTAGGTATACTAGACCATACATTCAACTCCACTCAAACAATACAAGTACTTCTATTGAAATTGGTTGTAGTAACAGAATCTTAGAAATGCTGCACTTCCTCATTTTTCTTATACTTCAGAGCAAAGGTGGTATTCAGCAGGTTCTAACCAGTTCTGGAGAACCAGTAGTGGAAATTTTGAGTAGTTCAGAGAACCGGCAAATACCATCTCTGACTGGAGATTTTACAGTATCCTTCCCCTGCCACGTCCACCAAGCCATGCCCACAGAACCGGTAGTAAAAAAAATTGAATCCCACCACTGCTTCAGAGGTCTTTCACTGAGTCACTTCTGAATATCATCTGGATATTCCAGATTTAAAAAACTGTTTCACCCCCTTTTGTCCTTCTTCTTACTCCCTGCACTCACATATTCCCCCATTGTAATTGTGTAATTGTTAAATTACTGTGAATTCTAAAAAAAGATGAATTTTTATAAAAGTCTATATTTTTATGAACAGAGTTCAAAAACATCAAAAATAAGGATTGGGTTCACCAGGAAACTTCTTTTGTTCAAACTCTCCCAATTTATATTTCTTATAAAACTGTTTTATGCTGTCAGGCATTTGACCGATAAATCTACTATTGTCTATATAGGGCTTTCTTCAACCAAAGCATATATGCTACCACAAAATTATGAAGCCACATAGATGAAAAAGCAATTAGATATAACACTTCAGTGTTCTAATGTCACCTATAGACTGTGAATAATCTTGTTACTTTAACAATTAATTGAGTAAAATTTACAAAGGAATTCTATTTCCAGTATTTTATTTAAATTTTTGTTTAAATTATAATAAAAAATAAAAAAATGTATTTCATACATACATAAACTTTTAAAATAGATTTTTTAACTTTAGACATAAAGACAAACTTACCATTCTCACTGTCGGACTTGTTTTCATGCTCCGTATCAGTTAAAGTAAGAGCTGAATTGGAACGACTTGAGAGACAGGAACTGCGGCCTGATTTGACCCCCCTGCCCCATAGTCTCATGGCATGCTCTGGAGACATCACTCCTTCATTTTCAGTGTCAGCATCTGACCCTGCACTGATAGAGTAACCTCTGTGGGGAAGCCCCATTTCAGCACAAAATGCCAGTCCTCTTCGAGTCGCTGGTTCACAAACTCCTAACTGTCTTAGGGTAAAATTCTGTCCTAATAAGGGGGAAAAAAAACATAACATAAGAATCTTTTTATTTTCTTAGAAACAGAGTAATTAAATTAAGATCACAGTAATTATATAAGTTTTTCCAGTACAGTAATATTTAAAATTTTGTTGCTAAAATCCACATGGCTATAGTTAATATATCAATTTTAATGTTGTCATTATGTGATGAACCTTTTAATTTTCTTCATTTCACATCATTACTGCTTACATTCTTCAATCCCTACAAAGTATTCATATATATCACTGCAAATCTAGAAGGACTGAGAACATGCAGCCGTCCTGCCCCTCAAGCTGATTATAAAAAGATTAAGAAGATTATAAAAAAAGGAATATAATCAGTGTCCACCATAAGCTACTGAAAATCCAGGGTCAACAAAAATTCCCTTAACCACCTCACTACCACTATATTTCATAGTTTTTTTTAATGTTTGAAAGTTACTTCACATAATTTTAAAAGAAAAATAGAGAATAAAACAGTAAAAATAATACTAACCGCTTTTTCAAAAAGTTTTTTACCACAAGTAATCTAATGTTGCTCTTATATACCTTTCTGTGGCAAATGTAAATATGTATACCTAACAATATTATTGAAGTGAGCAGATTCAAAAAGGACAGAAAACTGAATGCATGGTTCGTGAAATACAAACTGGGTTAATGACCCTGGCCAGGCAGCTTTTAACTGAGCCAGTTAATTACTTTATTGTTGTGGTCTTATCAGTTGTTGCAATCAGTTTTATCTGAGTCAGGATTGTAAATGGATTCTAAGACACTCATAAATAATGTAAACAGTTGCTGCAATTATCTACAAATCAAAGAGTACTTATCACTATGCTGCACATACATAACAGAATAAAAATGCATGGAGGAAAAAAGATAAGTGTCTCTACACTAAATAGTCCATAATGGAAAGTAAACTGTGTGAAGGCTATTAGGATGAATCAGTAAGCAATCAAATCTTTAAACAAGAATCACACTATATAGTTTACAGTTGGCTGTTTAAAGATTAAAATCTAAAATTCTCTGCACATTCACTAAATACTTCCATATCATCACCAATGTTTAGCAGTTGCACAGTTAGATTTGTTAGTTCTAAATTGACAAAAGTGACAATATTGTTTGAGAACAATAAAAACAATAAAATTTTCAATGAAAATTTCTACTACAATCAAATGACACCTGACATTTAAGATTAGCATAACTTAAATTCAAAACAGATATTTTATTATATGTCTACGGGATAATGCTATCATAACTTGAAAATGTACATTAAGAAGTAGGCTGACATATTTCACCAAGCTATAAAACGCTCTTTACAAATAACAATCACTGTGTTTATATGCTAAGACAAAATATTTTATGGCCTAGTATAAAGTATAAAACTAGCATACAAATTAAAAGTGTATATGTTTGTAATTCTTCTTGCGAATTCATATAATATAATATTTATTTATGTAAGCTGTCAATCATGGCTTTACAATTTAATTTTTGACTTTCAAGAAATAGCATATACATTCAGACTGGAAGTCTGTTTCTTCAAATATGCTATGTGCTAAAAATGCTTAATTTATTTTTTTAGCATAATGGTATGTTCCCATATCAGTTAGATCTAGCAACCTACCTTTAGAAAATGAAATTGCCAAAGATCAACTATATTTGCTAATTTGTTTATTGAAGAATGTCACTTGTAAAGATACACATTTAACATATAATGTTAAAATATATTTGTTCTATTACTAATGTATTTTGGGATTGAGTTTTTTACAACAGTTTTCTGTACTGGAATAAAAAGCAAAATAAATAAAATGTGCTGTACTAATGTATAAAATAAATGAACAAAAGAGGGTAAATGTTTTATCTATTCACAAGATGTGTGTTTAAAGTACAAGCATAAAAATGTAGTTTAATAACTAGGACATAAAAAAGAAAACAACATGATATGATACACAGCTTGGAAAAATATACATAAAGCATCTGTCCCATTTATGCATGGCTTCATTGCAGTTGCATATAAGCCATATAATCATCATTATCACAGTTTTAAAACTCTTAATTGCTCTGAAAAATCCTAATATTTTTCAATACACATTCATTAATTGGCTTAATTTTCTTTTGCATTTTTGTATTGGTTTTAAGGGTCTCTTTGGATCTGAAAATGGCACTGTGGTATGTAGTTATCTGTGGACACAGAGATGGCTTTACAGTTCCTGACAATGCTCACAATTTTCTAACAGTGTTGGTTAAGCATATCTTCAAAGCTGGTGGAGGCTTCATAACAGAGTTCACCACCAGTTTCTGTCGGCAGCTGCTGCTTCTTTGGCTGGATATTACAGTGATGTAAGCTTTTTTTCTTAGTGACTTTGTAGCCCTTGAGCAGTTGTGTTCTCTACCTAGATTCCAGTACATTACACAGCAACTGGCAAAATATGCAGCAGTCATCCAGTCTGACGATGTGTCCTCACCAGGGCTCAGATGATTAAGGACCAATGCTGGTCAGCTCTGCAAGAACCAATGCCCTCAGGCTGGATACACAGTCTTGCCAATGAATGCCAAAAAGAGTGAAGAGTGCACATCTCAAATTTCTCCAGTTGTTTGATACAGAGTCAAAACTCACATCCATATAGGAGGGAAGGGAAGCCATAGCTCTGTAGCTTTTAGCTTTGTGGAGATGTTGTGTTGACTAAGCATTCTAGGACATAACAACCATAGTGCCTGGCTGGCCTGGCTGATTTTGGAATCAATTACTTTGTTCAAAGACCCATCACTCAAGATGATGCTTCTCATGTTTTTGAAGCTGTTTTTTGTAAGCTGGATGTTGCTAACAGTTATATTTGTTTCTATGGATTTGGTATGAGCTGGTGAAGTACTTCAGTCTTGTTCAGGTGATAATTAGCATGAACAGTATAGCAGCTTCTGAGAATTTGTTAGCCAACTGCTGTCTTTATGAGTTAGAACCACAATCATAAGCAAACGGTTTTTGAATGACTGTGTGGAGGCACTTTATCTGCACATTTAAGCAGTGCATGTTAAAAAGAGCTGTCCATTCGATTTCTGACACAGACTTCCTCCTTCAGCCCTGACAAGATGTAACAACATGCAGATGAAAAACAGATTGAATAGGACTGTGACTAGCAGAAAACCGTTTTACTCCCATTGCAAATGGCAAATGCAGTTGATATACACCACTGTAAAAAACCTGTCCTGCCACTCCATTATGTAGTGGTTGAATCAACTACAGGAATTTCCTCAGACTTCCATAACATCTCAGAATAATCCAGAAAGCCTCCATGGTTACATTGGGTCAATGAAGACAGAGTAAAGAGACTAGTTCTGCTCAATGTACCTCATCTGGACTTGCCTTACAACAAATATCACATCTTCTGTACATTGTTTTGGCCAAAAGTCAACTAGTACTTCTGGGAGGTTTCTTTCTGATACAATTACAAGTTTGTTTGACAATTCAAGTAAAGACTTCGCATGCGATGTGTAAGAGAAGAGTGCTATCTGATTTATTTCCCTTTTTAAAGAAATCCACAATGAGCAAATCACGGACATCATCAGGTATCTCTTCCATGGGCAAAGTGCTTCCAAGATGTCTTGGAATGCTTGCAAGGAATTTGGGTCTAGTGCTTTGCAGATCTCAACAGGAATCCATCTGTAGGAAATGACCAGGCAGAGGGAGAGATCAAATGCATCGTCAATCATGATGAATTGGAGATTGGACTGCCATTTGTCAGAAATGGTGTAGGGTCTCCCACTTGGGTGGGGGGGGTTGGACTAGATGACCTACAAGGTCCCTTCCAACTCTGATTATGTTATCTGTTATGAGTCCCTTCATGCCCACAAGACATCTAAGTCCAGCCCACCTTGAATTCCTTCTACTCTTATCTTCCGCTAATTTCCCCTGATCATTAGTAATTCACATTCTTGTAGAGACCTTAAGCTTGCAATAAATCTTTATATTAACTTGGGTATCTTGATTTTCTTGGAGCTTGACATCATCCTACCTGTAGTTATATTTGAGCTCTTCTGTAAGATGATTTCATCCTTGATTTCATCAGTTAGAGGGAGGCAGGTTTAGGGTATAATTTGTTCTATTGTCAAACAACTATTACTCTTTTTTCTAACATTCACTGCCTACTTATAAAATAACCTACATCCATTATTTTGTGTCAGGCATTCTAGAGAATACGTCTTGACCACTTTCTGTGTGATATGCTTTCAGGTATTTGAAGAGTGTTCTTATTCCCCACTCCTTCAATCTGTCTTAATAAAAACAATAGAGACTTAATTTCTAATTCCCTAATCTTCCTTTATTGCTCTCATCTGAATGCATTCCAATGTGTCTGAATCCTTCCTAAGTATCATATACAGAACTGGATGCAGTACTCAAGATGAGATCAGATCAATACAGAATAATGTATTATAAAGTGGAAATTATACTGCTGGGATTCAATGTAAAAAGGCATTTTACTTCTTTGCAACCATATAAAAATGCTGACTCGTTTTCAGTTTGCAATATACTATTATTTCAGAACCATTTTTACAACTATTATTAAGCTCCAATACCAAGTTAGGTAGCCCATCTTGTACCTAATTGTTAATTCTGACATGTATATTTTGTTAAATGGGTTTTGTCATTCGTCACAGCCACATGCCTATAATGTATTTCTTTTATAATTCAAAATGAGATAATTGGCACCAAAAGGTGAAGACTACTAATCTTCAAAATTAATCTGTACATGCAAAATATGTACATTGGATTAAGAAGCTGGGGAACTGCTAAAATACTATAATGAAGAAAGATAACTATCAAGATCCAGGTGTTGCCAAAGATAACTATCAAGATCCAGGTGTTTCCAAACTGATTAGAAGCAGTATACCATTTCAGATGGAGAGTATATAGCTAAAGTTACACAGTAATTTTAATACACAGCATGTAATTATAGCTGCTCTTTTTCTTGGTCAGACAAATCCCAGGAGGTAGAAA